ATTTAAAAAAAAAAAAATTCAGCAACTATCATACTTGAGGAATGATTCTAACCTACGTTGCTCAGGCTAGGATATGAGTATCTGACACAATATGTCTAGGTATCTGACTCACCTATTTTTTCAAATTTTTTGATACGGTGGGAGTTGTCAAAAAGGATCCAAAATTAGGATTATGAGTACATGGACATGTCATACAAAACTAGAACAAGATATACATCTAAAACCATTAAACCGGAAACAAATAGTTGGTATAAATAATGTGAGATACCACCTAGAGCAGTGGCTGATATGTTACTTAAAAATTCAACGAATAAATTCTGTCCATGGCTCAATGGGGTCAGGTATGGTTGGGCCAAGCCTTATGGTGTCCATGAGTAAAGGTTAACATGCTTATGTTGTGAGCAGCACGTTGCTCATAAAGTGGCCAGTCCTTACATAACTCAAGAGAGTTTGTCCAGCCAGTTTGAGATAGACAAGTGGCTTAGATGCAATGCAGACCAAGAGTCCAACTCTCATTACTGAACCCAAATTAATGAAACCTTAAACCACATGGCATATGATATGATATTTTATTTGACTCTCGATCTTGTAAAAAACCAAATCTTTCAGATGAAGCATATGATATCAGAAAGCTTCATTTGAATTGAACCACTTTTCCAGCTTTTCATCTATAAACTTCTACAAGAAACATCAAAAGTTAAGCTCATGCCGACCATAATTGAAGGACATCAAGGATTTGGACAACCAAGGCACACCTACTAGAACACCAATCAAAGCTGTCAATAAGCTCGGCAGAAAATTGCCATCGGAACCCTAATGGAGTCATAATTTGTCTCCCCAACAGTGTCAGCCATGTCTGACACAGATACCATATGCTTATCCACATATAGTTGTGTCAATACAACTACTAAGCCAAATATGTCAAGTCTGAGCATTATAGACTATGGAAAAATAATTGTAATCATGCCAATGTTTTATCCACTAATGAAAGGACACCAATAATGAAAGATTGTATGAGCTACAATATAGGAAAGTTGGACAGGAAGATGACACAGACAGAACTAGTAAACTTTAAAACCACTCAGCCAAATGGAACCATGGCCTTTAAAGAATCACTGAAAAGTATTATCATCTCAACTCTACTAAAACTAGTTTCTTTCAAATCTCCATTGCAGCTAAAAACTAGAAACAATAATCAGAAAAGAAAGAGACAATGAAACAGAAACTCAAATTCTTGTCCTAATAGGGAACTGAAAATGAAAGAAATATGTTCTTTACTCATGTGACAGAATATAAAAACTTCATTCTGGACAAGATAAGAGAATGGCAGAAAAATTATGAGGTCTAACATAGTAATATACCACTTGAGGTCATCTTATGCACTTGTTTGAGAAGTGATATGATGGCATGCATCATTAGCTGCAAATGCTTTTCACTCTTCATTAGCATGTAGAACCCCAAAACATGTACCAAGATTCACTCTCACCCAAAAATAATTCATTAAAAGAATTGTTTGAGCTCCCCCACCCCCACTGCCCCCCCCCCTTTTTTTTTTCCACAAAAGAAAATGTCAATCAGGAAGTTTTTGAAAACATCTAATAACTTGAAATCACCATCATGCAGTCCAAGCCATAAGTATCTATCTATATGCAATCCAAGCATCCCTAGAACAAAAGGAAACATATTTAGGGCCAAAAAAATCACCTTGAAGCTCACACCTTGCAAGATATTCTTTTCTCCAAATGACTTGTACACGTTTCGACATTCAATGAGAACATCAGAGTCGTTCTCATTCTTCACTTCCTTGCTCAAAGTCTCAGATTTAGATGATTCCTGAAAACATAACCATGCAAATCACCATGTTAAAACTTGAAAATTAAAAATAAGAAATAAAACTAAGAAATCTAAAATCAAGTTCTCAAGTTCTTAAGCTTCCATTTAGTTGTTGCATTTGCTATTTGCATTTTGCTTCCAAAAGAAGAAAGCACATTTGGATACTAGAGCAATAATATTTTAAATAATTAAACATTAAAACTGTAGTTTTTCTGGAGACCAAAATGCATATTTTCACTTGTATATAAAACAATTATGTTACAGGTGGTATAGCACATATTTATTCGTTCATTTATAATCACAAATCATTCGGCTTTTATTTATTTATTTTTTTTGAAGTAAAAGCTAAAAGAAATAAGCAAATAGAGCCTAAAAATCTCTAAAATGCAAAACATGTTGGATATTTACACAGTTCGATCGCAGAAAGCAAAAGTATGCATAAATTTGGATGTAAACAATTTGAAGGAAAAAAAGAAAAAAAAAAAGAAAAGAAAGTAATTGCACGATCAATGACATATGCAAAGACACTGTTAGCAATCAAACACAATCCACTCGGCTGAACTGCACAATTTTTCAAGTCAACCTAAAGAAATTTCCAAAAACATTCAATTAAATTCAAGAAAAAACTGTAAAACAACAGAAACAAAAAATAAAAAAAAAAGCAGAAACTAACAAATGGGGATAGCAGAAATATTTACAGTCAATTTGCTTCCAGAGAATCCATCACGCCCCAAGTTCCTAGGAGGTGCCATACAAGCACAAATAACATTTCTTTGCTCCTTCCTCTTCTTATTAAACCAACAACATTTGCTTCTTTTCGTACCCAAATCGCAATTTTTACTTGACGTCGCTGAAGTAAATAACCCCAACGAACTTGATAAAAAAACCGTACTCGTCATTGTTTTTAAAGGGCAACGGAACTGAAATTTTCAAAGAGAGTTTGAAAAGGAAATCTGGGTATTGAAAATCAGTGATTTTGGAGATGACGCAGATCGGTTCATTAACAAAAAAAAAAAACCATAGAAAAACGAATGAATTTGTGAATTTTGAAAGAAACCCAGATTAGTTAACTGAGTAAAAAAACTCCAAAGTTGTAGTAGGAATTGGGTTTGGAATAAAAGAGCCAAAAATTTAACCTATTCTTAATGAACAGAAGAGAAAGAGAGGAACCATGGGAAGGAAAAAGGTTCTTATACAATAAACGTGAAAAGTGTGCACCTTGGACCGGCGGTTGGTGGGAGCATGGCTATTCGTTTGTATTGCCGTGTGAATTTGGGTTCCTGTTTCAGTGTTGGAAGGTACCGAGGAATACAAATTGGATACCGACTTCTCAATTTGAACAATCAAGTAGTCTGATTTTTATTTTTTAAAACACTTAAATCTTTTAAGAGTGCATTTAGGTGAGAAATTTTCAAAATCTTGTATAATTTTGAAAAATTAAAGTATTTTAAAATACATTAATTTTTGATAAATATTTTGTAGAATGACATTTGAGTATTGGAATTTGATGCAATAAAAATAATTATTAAAAACAATTGATGTTAGTGATTAAAAAGGAAAAATATGCATACATTAGGTTTGTAAAAAATGTATAAATGTTTTTAATAATATAAAAAAATTAAAAATAATATATTTAAAAGTAAATTTTTTGTAGTTAGAATCAATTTTATTTGGAATTTGTATATGAGATTGCATAAAATGATTTATATATCATGATTTTTATAATGAGTTATACTCATTGTATGGTTAATTATGGGTTTGTTCTTGATTTTTTATTTTTCTTATTTGATTTCTAAATATAAATTCTTTGTGGTAAAAGAGGATGGAGATCTTACCCCACTGATATTTCATTTTGTTTGGTAAGTTATATGTTAATGCTAAAGTTATTCTTTCAATAAATTAGTACGAGGAGATTGTTTTATTAAAAAAAAAAATAGTTTTCCACTTTCGAAAGCTACTATAGTATATAGACTATGCACCCCTGCAGTAATTGACACTGTCTATACTTGATGGGCCGCTAGTTCTGCATATGGGCCGCCACTTCAAGCCCATTAAGTCACTCACAAACCAACCCAAAAGCCCAACGGATCGTTTGGAAATTAGGGTAACGCTGTTTCCTTTTTGTCACGTGCAGTAATTGTAGGAAATTTCATTCATGCAATGAAATTGAACGCGTAAACAACTACCAAAAAAGAGATCCCCATGGACTCTGCGCCACTATGACGCTCTTTGGTCTCTGTTTTCTCCTTCTCGTTTCCTTTCTTCGTATCAAAGAAACAAGCAAAAGAAAGCTTCAAACCCTTCTCCCACAACCCAACTGAGAAATCAGTCTTGAATTTTTTAGCCAATGTCAGAGTCTTCAATGGAGTGGGTTCGAGGGGAAACGATTGGACGTGGAAGTTTTGGCACTGTCAACTTGGTGGTACCTAAAAAAGGCACTCCAAAATCTTGTCCCGTAATGGCTGCCAAGTCTTGTGAAACGATCAACTCTACTTCTCTCAAGCACGAGAAGGAAGTGCTTGATCAGCTTGGTTTTTGCCCGCAAATCATTCGTTGTTTTGGCGAGGAATATACAGCTGAGAACGGTGGGGAATACAACCTGTTCTTGGAGTTTGCTGATAAAGGTTGCTTGGCTGATCAGGTTAAGAACAGCGGTGGAAACTTGATAGAAGCCGATGTTAGAAGATATGCAAGATCGATACTTAAAGGGCTACGCTTTGTTCATGCCCAAGGGTTTGCTCACTGTGATATTAAACTTCAAAATATTCTTTTATTCGGTAATGGGGATGTCAAGATAGCAGATTTTGGGTTGGCGAAGAGAAATTGGGAAGAAGAGGGCGAAGGACCTCATAGGAGGATAGAAATCAGGGGCACTCCTCTCAGTATCGCACCAGAGTCGGTTATGGAAAACGAGTATGATTCACCGGTGGATATCTGGGCACTTGGATGTGCTATTGTTGAGATGTTTACAGGGAAACCAGCCTGGAGTTTCAAACCAGGATCATGCGTGGCGGCTTTGTTGATGAAAATTGGTGTCAGTGACGAATTGCCTGTAGTTCCTGCGGAGTTATCCAAAGATGGAAAAGATTTTCTCAGGAAGTGCTTTGTTAAGGATCCAAACAACAGATGGACTGCTGAAATGCTCCTGGATCATCCATTTGTGGCTGCTGATGATGAGAATATTGCAATTATGAATCGATTTGAAGAAGAAGCATCAACATCTCCAAAATATTCTTCTGAAGAATTTACAATGTCACCAAGATGTCCTTTTGATTTTCCAGACTGGGTTTCAACTCAATCAACAGTTTCTTCTCAATCAAGTTTCCAAGAAAACTCAAGCCCCGTTACGTTGTTTCCAAGTTATGTTTCATCACCTTTGGATCGGATTCTTCAACTGGCTAGTGATCAGGCACCCAATTGGTCAGTTTCCGGAAGCTGGATCAACTCGAGGTAGAAGAAGAGAAAAGTAGTAGCAGTTTAATTGCCTTCATCAAATTGGTGATTATTATCATTGTAAATGCTTAGGAAAACATTTGCAGTTTTTATGTTTTGCTGATATTGGCTATTCAGTTGGCCACAGTGTACAGGCCATTCTTTATTTTAAATATCTTGAAATAAAAAAATTTCCAATTCCTTTCCCAAACAAATATTGAATCTTTGCATTTGCATAATATAAAGCCTCAGTTGTTAAGAATTTGTTGTGCAGCTTCAGTTCAAGTTCCAATTTCAATCAAATTGTACCTAATCATGAATCTTCTGCAGCGGTTGGTGTTCATCTGAGGTTGAGACATTATGCTCAAATTGCAACATTGACTCGAACCATCGAGCATAGATTAAATCTGAACTTAACTTCTTAGTTTCAAAAGTAATAATTATGTCTTCGAATGACTACTGGGGAGAAGGTTAGGAAGAGATGAATTTGCTAATCATTTGATGAATGTCATGGTTGGACATATTACAAGAGGTAGAAGTTGCCTATTTGGTTATGAGGAGGTTAGACACACGTAGCCTGGAACTTGTCCAGTGTTTAATTTGTTGAAGTGAAATTCTGCTATGTTGTTATTGTTCAATATGGTTTCTGTTTTTTAAGTATGTGAGTCATGTGACTTTGTAATTACAATATTTATCAAAGGTGTAAGTGGCTAAAGCTAGGTGAAGTAGCATCCTGTTTATGGGTTCTCCTGGTTAAGTACCGAGGTTGTTATTCAATGCTTGATCATGGTTTGATGTTATTGGTTGAAGACTTGAAGTAGCCGTTGAGTATGTTAGTTTGTGCAGGAGGTAATTATCTTTTTTACCTATTTGCAAGGGGGTTTAGAGCAGGAGCCATTACCTAAGGTTTTTGTAGCTTAAGTGTCATTCTTGGATCCTGTTAGGCTTAACTCTCTACAATGTTATTGGCTTCTGTTACGGCTTGCAGTGGTGACTTTGAGTGCATTGTGATGTGCATTCATGTGTACAATGTGTTGGAATAATTGAAGAAGATGGCAGAATGTGATTCATACAGTGAATCCAACATTTTTTAACATGGTTCTAATAGGAGGGTGCTGTAGCTCTTCTGGTGTTTGGTCTTTATTTTCATCTTTAGGTTATTTTTGTTTGAATTGGAAAGGCTTTTGCTCTGTAGTAAGCTGCTAGTTTTGCCAGTTCTGTAGTAACTTGCTGCTTGAGTATCAGTCAGACCAGCAACCTGGATGCAGCATTGGCTATTTGGGCTTACACCAAAAGTTCAACACATCAACGCAGGTAGACAGATTGATACTATCCAGAGGGCAAGCGGGCGCAGTACTTTGAGAGGTGACCAAAGTATACATGACAAGGTTGAGGGAAAGAAGAAACACAATCGATGCTGAAGCCTTTGATGAAGCCATTTCTATATCTTGAATTATTATAAAACCAAAGATTTTTAAATGCTTCGTCTATTGATTTCCTTTCCTTTGATTTCATGGGAAGAAAAAGTAAAAAAGAAAAAGTTTTACCAACTGTGAGCGGTTTAATTTGTGGATTAAAATACCTCCTATATAAACAAGATTTAAAAGTATTCTCCCTTAATATATTACATGAGTGTTGTTGATGATATATATGCTTGTAACCTTGTAAAGAGATATAAGTATAAATTTTAAGATATGTACATTCAATCTAAAATCATCAATCAATATCCATTTGAACTTATCATATTTATATTTATGTAAGCATATATCAAATTTAATCGATATTTGATATATGTTTTTATGTATTGAGATAATGATATGACAACACTTACTATATGTAATGTGAAAATTTTATAATTTAACAAATGTATCCTATCATGAACGAGATAGAAAGGAAGGTAATATATACTTGCTAAAATAATACTATTTTAAATTTTAAACTATTTAATTTAAAATCAATCAATAGTAGGTGAAGAGATCCACTATATTTAGCTTCTTAAAATACTCCAAATTTAGTCCTTAAAAATTTTTTCTAATCATCACTTTAATTTTGATTCTTAACTGCTAGGATAACGAATCTATTTTATGATATTAATTTCACATTTAAGAATAACTAATCTATTGTTTAGTTTGGGCAACACATGTAGGCGTAGCATACTTATTATAATGGGATAATAAAAGGGAGTAATGTTTATTTTGATATCATGTTAAATTTAAATACTGATATTCAATTAAAACTTTTACAAATAAAGTGATTTTTTTGGAAAAGTGGGTTTATTAATATAACATAGCCTGCATGTCATAACAATAGCATAACAACATCAAATCAAGCTATCCAGAAAGAAGTACAATTACAAAAGGATTCCACCACTCAAACAAATAATGGTGACTTTTATTTATATTTGCATGCCTGAGACCCAATCTAAATAGAAGAGAGATTATTTTACCACCAATTTAACAAATACTTTAATTTGGTATGGAATGACAAATTTTTCTGTGAAGACAAATAGAAAAAAACAAATAGAAGGCATATTGCCTCTCCCTCGGGACCCTCTTCATTATTTTTTTTATTATTATTTGTCTAATAACTCCATCATCAAGAAATTTAGCTCGAATTTTTTTTTTGCTGGGGTCAAACTAAGCTATATATAAAATGCTTTGTAATTCTTTTTTTCAATTTATAAATTGAAGAAGTTATTTGAAACTTTTACATTTATATATTCAGTGTTAATAATGTATTATAACTTCAATACTGACACTTAATAAGGATCATATACATATATATATATATATATATAGGTAAATTGACCCATCTCCAAATTGGCTACTAACACTCTCGTCTCATGTTTTTTGCTTCCATCTTTTTTTTTATAAATTTTTGACATTATAAATCATGATAAATCAATAATTCATATTTTTTTAAAAAAAATTTAATATAAAATACACTAAAATAAAAGTTTGTTCTTGTCAAACTTCATGAAAGTTAGATACTTAGGAACCAAAAAAAAAAAAGGAAACGGAGAGAGTATGCATATTAAAACAATTAAATGACTAATTGTAATTAAACATACAAAAGGATATGACTAAATATATATAATATAACAAATCATTACACATAAAATTATAGAAGTAGTTTTAGCCTTTAAAACAAATTAAAAGAATATAATAAAAAAAAGGATATAAATGTTCAAATATAAAATCAACACACAGCTAATCAAATTATTAAATGAGCTTCTTTCATAAAAAAAAAGAAAGAAGATAAAGCTACACAAATGAGATCCTCGTCTCTTTTCCACCAACTTTTTATATAAATACCTTAGATACTTTTGATTGTTATATTTCAGATATGAAGTCAAATATAAGTTTTTCTTTGATTTACTCATTGATGAAATTAGTACGGACCTATCAAGGAAATTCTTCCTCCAACATTTGATCAATTATACCAAGTTTTTTATTTTAAATTTTAATTTGAACCAGATTGAGACAAAATACATAACACAATAAACTTTTCTCAAAATTATGTATTTTTTGAATTATATTTTGGAAATATGCATATGATACTAAATAACCAAGCAAATGTTCAAATGATACGAAATTTAAAAACAAATCAGTCAAAAATAATATAATCGAAGCAAAACGTAATATATTTAAAACAAATTGCATGGCACAAATGTACATGTTAAATGCGGTGGGAACTCCTTTTACGTAGCTGACAATATGATTGCATGTCCCATGTAATTGAAAAGCCGGATAAAGTCAAAATTATGTAATTACTATAATTTAACTGTGATGTTGCAAATCAGTGGTTGGAAAGCTTCACCAAATAAGCCTGGGTTTACAAAGAAATTTCCCTCCATTTGCCCTAAAAGGCTGAAACGCCAAACCAACAGAATTTTGAATCTCATATTTTTGGCTTTCCTTTTCAAATGTCCACTCAATTCTCCCTCTTTTTCTCCGAGAACTCTAAGGGAAAACAACTAACATTTTTTTTTTTTGCTTCTTTCCAAAAGCATGGGTCCTCATGATCTCTTCTTGTTTTCCCTGGCTGCAAAAGCGCCTCCTCCTGTGAGGGGTCCTTCAATCTTTTGAAGGTCCCCTCAGTTCCTGTGTGCAAACTTTTGCCTGTCCACTTCACCAATATTCTTCATCTTTTGTCTGTTTCCGAAGCCATTTTTTTTTTCTGGTTCCTCTCCTTCAAAAATGAATTGCTTCCCATGTTTCTCATCACAAAGAAGCAAGAAGGAAACCGGTAAAAAGGAGCACGACTCTCCCCATGACGCCCTTGTTCAATCAAGAGTACCTGGTATGCCCTGTGCTTTGTTGCTTATTTTCCCAACTAATAGCCTAATTAATATGTTTATTCACTTCATTCCTTATTGGAGGAAACAAGGAACTCGGGGCAACCTTGCTTGGTTATTAGGTTAGGTATGCATCAAGTGAGATTTTTCACTATGAATTGCAATTTGAGATCTAATTTGTAGCTTTCATTGTCATGCATAACGGATATATAATTAAATCACAATGGAACAAGGATTTTTTATTATTATTTTGGAAAAAGGAGATTCTAATCCGATTCATTGGATATAGAGCTTCATACGTATATTATTGGAGTAAATGCTCTGATGTTCATAGGACATTTTGTTAGTTATTTTATTATAATTAAGAAACAAAAACATGATACAGAAAATATGGAGGCGTCCAACCAAGTTGAAAGTGGAAACATTCCCGTTCAAACATTCAATTTTCGAGAGCTAGCCGCCGCAACCAGGAATTTCCGTCAAGAATGTTTGTTGGGTGAAGGTGGTTTCGGAAGAGTTTACAGGGGGACTCTTCAGGCAACCGGGCAGGTGCTCTTTACTGCCAACACTTTTACCCTATCTTTGTTTCTTTCTTTTTAATTTATAAATGGACCTTAAGCTTCGGTAATGAATTATGATCCTTTAGCCTTCAATGGAAACAGGTGGTTGCCGTTAAACAACTTGACAGGAATGCAATGCAAGGAAGCAATGAGTTCCTTGTTGAGGTTGCAAAACTGAGTCTCTTGCGCCATCCAAATCTGGTCAATCTCATTGGATACTGTGCTGATGGAGATCAGAGGCTTTTGGTGTATGAATTCATGCCAGGGGGTTGTGTTGAAAGTCATCTACTTGGTACGAACGTTTCCTTTTGCCCTTTTTTGCTTTTTCTCTGTTCATTTTCATTAAACTTATTTTCAAATTATTTGCTTAAAAATTCACATCTTGGTCAGTATCTGAAGAGGAAGACAAATTTTAATATTTGTATAGTGTAATTGCAGATATAAAACCTGGAAAAAAGCCATTAGATTGGATAACCAGAATGAAAATAGCGTATGGGGCAGCTCAAGGTCTAGAGTATTTGCATGATAAGGCCAATCCTCCTGTTATTTATCGTGATCTCAAGTCCTCAAACGTTTTGTTAGATGAAGAATTCAATCCAAAACTCTCTGATATTGGACTGGCCAAGCTTGGCCCTTCCGCAGACAAGATGCCTATGCAGTCAAGGGTGATGGGAACTTATGGTTACAGTGCTCCGGAGTATTCAAGATCAGGTAAGCTCACGACTACTGCTGACGTATACAGTTTTGGAGTTGTTCTACTAGAGCTAATCACTGGAAGAAGAGCCATTGACACTACCAAACCTGTCGACGAGCAAAACTTAGTTGCCTGGGTAAGTAGCGTTTTTTGTGGTAGAAACGAAATGATAGATTTCCAATCTTTTATAGCATTAATTTAGGAAAAGAATTTAATAATATTAAACACTTGGTATCATTCTATGCTTGCAACAGGCACAACCAATATTCAGGGAACCGAAAAAGTTTCCAGATATGGCAGATCCTTTACTTAAGAAGCAATTTCCTGAAAGGGGTTTGAATCAAGCTGTTGCAATAGCAGCCATGTGTCTGCAGGATGAACCTGCGGCCCGTCCTTTGATGAGTGATGTGGTGACAGCCTTAAGTTTTCTTTCCATGGCCACAGAAGAGAATAGTATTCCTCCCACTCTTCCTCCTTCTATCTCTTCTAAGTTGCATTGCATCTCATCTAAGCTGCAATTCTTGGAGCATAGTGATACTAGGAAGCTGAAGGAACAACACAACTCTGTTCATAATGCTGATACGGATAGTGAATCAGAACATGATCACAATGATGAGGACCGCAATTCAAAAGAGGGAAGTGTTTCTTCTAGCCGCAGTAGCAGTGTGCATACACCAGAAAAAAGTGCTTTGACTATTGATCATAGCAGAAGATCCAGTGATGGAAGTGCTTCTTCCAGAAAAGAAAGCAGCAGAAGTTCAAAAGAGGGAGGTGCTTCTTTGAGCCAAAAGAGTAGTGCGAAATCACTGTTTTCTTTAGGCCATGCTTCTTCCAAAGAAACTAGCAGGGATGCACATGATAAAAGTGATTCTTTGAGCCAAAAGAGCAGCAATAATTCACTATTTTCGTCAAGCCACAAGTACAGCAAGGAATCCCAGGATGCGAGTTTTTCTCCCAGTCACGAAGATAGCAGGAAATCACCATTCTCATCAAGCCACAAAAGCAGCAGGAAGTCACTGGAAAATGATGAATATTTAAGCAGCAGTAGCAGCAGTGACTCAGTTGATGAAAGTCTCTCTTCAAGTCGTGAGAGAAGCAGCAGGAAATTGCTTGATAAAAGTAATTATGCAAGTCAAAAAAGCGGCATGAAACCACAGGATGAAAATGTTTCTTTAGGCCACAATAGCAGCAGGAAATCAACTAACGGAAGTGTTTCTGTGAGTGACAAGAGCAGCTTGAAATCACAGGATGAAAATGATTCTTTAGACCATAATAGTAGCAGGAAATTAATTGATGGAAGTGTTTCTCTGAGTCGGAAAAGTAGCCGGAAATCCAAGGACGGAAATGTTTCTTTACGCCGTAATAGCAGCAGAAAATCGCCTGAAGGGAATGCTTCTTTGAGTCGCAAGAGCAGCAGGAGATCACAGGAAGAAAGTGTTTCCTTACACCATAATAGCAGCAAGAATTCAGCTGATGCAAGTGTTTCTTTAAGTCGGAAGAGCAGTAGGAAATCACAGCATGGAAACGTTTCTTTACACCATAATAGCACCAAGGGCTCACATGATGAGAGCAATTCCTCGGGGTCCAGCAGAAAGAGCCGAAGGCGATCTACGAAGGTAAATGATTCACTGAGCTGCAGCAGCAGTGGAGGATCACAGGATGGAAGCGAAATAGACCTGGACAACGCCTATTCACGTCCAGTAACCTTCACAAAGGCTAAGACAACCGTTTATTTTTGAGCAAAACACACTGGTAGGGAGTCAAATGGGAACATTTTGGTCGAGAGAGAAGCCATTTCTGCCACCCAGAAACTGAAGTGACTTTGTCTTCTCTTTAATGTTTTTGTCTATGTCTGAGTTACAAAAACTTGTTATCTTCATTATTCAATTAAATGTGCAGCAAACTAATTCATAAGCCTTGCCAGTTTTTGCGCTCAGAAATTAGACAACTTGGTTAGGTGTTGGCATGCTGAGATTGTATTTCCCATCCTACAGATTATATTTTAATAAACCAACAATTAAATTTACAAATGCAAGTTCAGAAATCTGAAATGCCTGATAGAGAAAGCCTCCGGGAGGTGTGCCTATAAAAAGCCCATCTTTGCTTGCCAAATTGCCTAAGGTAAACTCAAGCCCATTTTGACAAGATTGAGATTGGGTCCCAAACCCAATTAAAATGAACCATAGAAAAGATATGTAAAATGGCTCCTGTGTGTTTTATCTTCTCCAGCCTTTGCCTCTCCCCTCCACTCTTTTTCCACACCACCACCCCAGCAACTCTCTTCTCAGGTTCTTTGCTACGTCTCTGCTCAGCTTTTAATGTTTGTGCTTCACTTAATCCTCAGACAAATGCATGTACTTCTTTACTATTACCTTCTTGTTGCTTTTTCTTGTGTTAGTTTTACAAGATCATTGTCCGAGTCTGAGAACTGGGTACTATGGAATTTGTAGTTTTGTGCTTGTGTAATTTTATTTTTCTGAACTTTGGTCTGCTTGCTTAGGGTATGGATGAAAAATATTATATTATATCATATGATTTTGTGGGTTAAAACTTGAAAGTTGCTTCAATGTATTCATTTATGTTAGCTATTTGCCGATAGAATGTCCTTTTGTATTTTACTAACAGTCTATCAGACTGGACATTCCGGCCCTTAAAATTTTACCTGCTGTTGTTTTGGTTAGTGGCAAGGTTCGGTTTTTTGTGGGGAGGTTGCAAAATTTGAAGATAGCTGGTTAAGAATGCCAGGGAGCTCTGAAATTGCAAACAAAATCATGTTAAGGCTGGTTGACTTAAAATGAATGAACCCGATTTCTTTTTTTTTTTAATGCTATAAATAGATTAAAAATTTTTTTTATGGGGCCATGAAGGCAAACTTGTGGCATGCTTTATATTTATCTTTCCAGTTGGTTTCGCTTTATAATCAGAATTCTAGATTGCTGTATCGAGCAGAACTTCAATGAAAGAAAACTGGGTGAGAAATTTGATTCCTATTGAGATACCTTGTAATTTTGTTTTTCTTATTTACATCTTTAGTACCGTGTTATTTTGGAGCTAGAATTTCATTTTGAGATGTGTTCTATGAATTGGTTTCTTGAATGGAAAGCTGATTATGTACTGTTGAAGCAAAAGATGTTGAAGCAAAGCTGATTAACTGTCTTGTGAATATGTAACCTGTTCTTCCTTTTTGCTTTTCGTTCTTTTGGCTCCTTAGTATGACTCTAGTTTCAGCCTCTATGTTGTCTCAGTCCATCGATTTTCCTCTCTAAAACAGTTAGTGTAGTTTTTTAAAAAGGTCAATTTTTTTTTCAAACATTTTAAACTGAATTAGCGAAACCGACCATTTGCCCACCCCTATATACAGCCTCTAACAATTTTCTTAATGTTCTTATTATCACTTTAGGTTTGTTTCCAGGAGCAGAAACGATATAACAAACAAGGATTAAGAGGAAGAGGAAGATATGATGGTTGCAACCTTATTGTCTCCATCCAATTCAACTCTAATCCGTGGTGTCCTTATAAAAGAAAATTCATCATGTCCCCGAATATTTTTGGGCATTAGAGAAAGGATTCTGAATCAACATGCCACAAGATGCTTTCATATTTATGGAAACAAAAGGTTATCTCGTAGGTTTCTTGTGTTTGCTGCAACTGAAGGTTCTGCAAAGTCCAGCAAGTCTGAAGAAACTGTTCCATCTTGGGCTAGACCTGATTCCGATGAGCCCCCTCCTTGGGCTCAAGATGAAGGGAAGGAGTACACAGTGCAGCAGAGTTTTGAGATTCCCTTCTATGTTTACTTACTTGCCTCAGCAGTAACTGCCATTGCTGCAGTATGCTTCCTCTTCTTAATCTATAATGGTTTGACACCCACAAAAATGAGATGTCTAAACTTTTTCCTCTTCATCCTGCAGATAGGTTCTATTTTTGAGTATGCCAACCAAAGGCCTGTTTTCGGAGTTGTAAACTCAGACAGCATTTTCTATGCGCCCTTGCTTGGTTTCTTTGCATTTACTGGCATCCCCACTTCTGTGAGTTTTGCTACTTTATTTTTCTATTCTCTGGTATTGAGATCAATATTTTGAATGAGGGAATATCATCTCTAATTCTTTCCCTGTGGAGTCTAGTTCTTGAAATCTAAAAAACATATAATTGATACCACAAGTATAACTTTGCTTTATGGGGAACTTAACAATTATTTGTAGTTTGAGGAATTGCAATTCATTTTGGCATCCCTTGACTTTAGTTGCTGAAAGCTCCCAGGAAACTCTAAACAATGAAGAAAGGTGATTTTAGAAAAGTTACAAGTCTCAGACTACCACATGTTTATCTTTAACTGTGTTGGATTTAATATTGTAAACTGTTCTAAATCCAATCCGTTATTTTTTGTGATCTAATGTAATAAGGTCCTATTTATTATCAACTTTGGCTCCTACCAATAATTTTGATTGATTTGGAAGAATGAAGGTTTCGATGCTATGTAACTAAAAAAAGAGTTTTGTCAACAAATTTAAACATATGTTGATATTATAACCTAATAGTCCTTTTATTTGGTGACAAGCAACCCCATTTTCAAAGTGGTTGATAGAGTACTTATGAAACATTAGCTTGAAATTATTACCTCAATCTAATGCATTGTTCTGCTAATCTGACTTTGAATATACAGGCATTTCTTTGGTTAAAATCTGTTCAAGCTGCTAACAAGGAAGCTGAGGAACAAGATAGGAGGGATGGTTATCTGTAAAGTCAAATTTCATAAGTTGCCAACTGTAATTATTCATCATGTAGAATTATTCTCTGGAAATTGAGCACCTTTCCTTAATTAGTTAAAGGTATGGCTATTCATTTTAGTCCTGCTTCTCTGAGGTGAATAAAGCTCGTGATCCTTATTACAGAATGCCCATCGATTTACTTCTACTTACAACTTTGAACTGACTAAATACCAGCATTGGACATAGGTCATATTGCCTTGTCCATCCTGTTTCTCTTATGACCAAATTGTTAGCGAGGTAGCGGTTTGAATAATTTTCAGGTCTCAGCCGATGAAGTGTGAGTGTTAACGGTGATATGGGAGATGTTAATTCTCATCCACTGAGGTGGCAGCTGCCACCGTGTGGCTTCAAGCTGAACGCGGATGTGCTCTAGCAAGGGACAGCTCTGTTGCGAGAGTGGCTGCTGTTCTAAGAGACTTTAGTGGGATCAAGTGATAGATACTCTTGCAAGGAAGCTGGTTCCTTTACACTCTCTCAACTCTAAAGATTATGGCAAAGAGAAAAAGGTAATGATTTTTGCTCTGAATATTGGTATTTCTGCATTTCATTAAAATCACCTCAGCAAAAGAGAATCTCAGTGAAGTGAGCTCGTGTGTCCACACTAAAAGCTCTTGCACTAATTAGATCAAGGGTATTCTGTCACCTATTCAAGTGTATTTATCCTTTACGGTCTTTACAACCATCAAATCAAGGGTTATGTTTGTTTATATTCTTACATAATTTATTTTTTAAGTATATAATTATAAATAAATTATGTAATTAGAATTATTATACAATACTATTATTTAGTTAGATTATAATATCTCATTAAAGTTATATTATAATACTATAACTATAATACTATATTTTAGAGTTATCTTAAAATAGATAATTTAAATTTTTTTATAGTTTATATAATTTTATATTATATAAAAAATTTTCCTCCTTCTAACAACATATATTTAAATAAAAAATTAAATATGCAATTCAACCATTGACCCTACAATCGAGCCATTGATACTTTCTGATTCGATTTTGATAATTATGCTTGGTGACCTTTGCTAATCAATGTTATTATAAACTAGAAGTCCTTGTTAATCATAGTATATATACATATATTTTTGTTTTGATTATTTAATCTTAATTCTTATGCATGAATTAAATTTATAAAATTATTAATTGACTAAATTGAGTTACGAATGGAAAGAAAAGCACGAAGAAAGAACCCGTGAGTGCAAAAGCAATCAATTTGTTTTATAATATGTTTATATAAATCATTTAACTAAATATAAATAAAATATCATTTAAACAACGATATTCGGTATTAATAATTGAATCAAATTGTTTAGTAAAAATAATTTCATTTTTAAGACTATGTTTTAAATAAAGATTTTATTTCACAGTTACGTTGTTAATGTTAAAAGAATTTGACCACATAAAAATTAACATATTTTTTTACACCACAAATATTAATATAAATTAAATTATAAATATCATTCAGTTCAAAATCAATTATATATATATATATCCATTAAAAAAAAAGAAAAATCCACTCCACGCGAATCGAGCCCCACTTTGTTTATAAATGATCGAAGTACCGATCTGTTTTATGGGGATTGAAAGTGCAGAGTTTGTGCGAATACAAGTAGACTGGATGAAAAGACCACGTTGATGACTCGGAATGGCATGGCTTTAATTGCAAAAGTTCTTCTTTTCACACCAGTTTTTGAATATGAAACAAAGTTTGGGATTTCAGAGTTGACAACAATATTTTTGACCTCCCTTTATTGTATTAAACTATAGTTTAATCTACTACTAATAACACTAATAATAGATAGTAGAAGCGGTAGTAGGAATTTTTAATGATTATGATTTTCATTACAGATTATTATTGTTTGTTGTTATGTATTAATTTAAATTAAAAAAATAAAAAAATGGCTTACTCCTTTTTTAGAAATAAATTGGATTTTTATGGATGCACTATAATTGTTGTCGTTTAAATAAGATAAATAAAAATAGAAAAATAATTAAAAATGGTAGTAGGCATCTATCTATCTTTTTGTGTGGCCGATTCTGATGTGCTGAATCTTAGACCTCACCGTGGCAAAGCCGCTTTTCGGGATACCCATTTCCTGGCCGATTGCCACGCCATTGGAATGCATCCCAAAGACTTAACCGCTAAGATTTCCCCCTTCACTCACATATTTATAAATAAGTTTGCCAACGACCGTTCTTTCACTTGAACCAAACAGTTTCTCCTACCCCCTTCTTTTCTTTTTTGCTTCTTCTTTGTTCTGTTCTAGAAATTTGTAATCGATTCTCATGAAATCCGAGGTTTCTGAGATTGAAGGAGGAGGAATAGGAGGGCCGTCCTTGCCTTCACTACTGCTCGACCTTAATGCTCTCCCGCAAGATTGCATCGCCGCCGTCCTTTCCTTCACCACTCCTTGCGATGCCTGCAGATTGTCGGCGGTTTCCACCACCTTTAAATCGGCTGCCGAGTCCGACGCCGTCTGGGAAAGCTTCTTACCGTCTGATTATAGGGCTATAATTCCCTCATCGCTAGCTTCCAAGAAAGCGCTTTATCTCAGCCTTTGTGATAATCCTATCCTTATCGAAGGGGGCCGAAAGGTAATTGAACGCACCCTCTCTTCCTAAGTTTTGTTTGAAAATTCCATAGCAATTTTTGGATATGATAAATAATGAGGCAATTATCAAAAAGGTGAGGAGCTTAAGAAATTGTCAATCATCTTTTTGGTCTTATCAAGAAACTCTAACATGCTTGCTTAATCTTTTTTATGTTCTTTGCAAATGCTTTGTGCTTCTCTCCCTGAATTAGATTTTCTTGAATCTAATCTATCCGACGAGCTCTAGACTTTTTAATAGACGTTATCAATTAGCAAAAATGATTAATGTTGCTTGTTCTGTAATAGGGAATTCTCAAAAGTCAAAACGTTTTGTTCAGTTTGGTAGTGATCAGAGTGTGGTCTTTCTTCCATTGGATTTCTTGCGTGTAACTTAGGTTTTAACAATGCTAATCTTCATGAAACAGAGCTTCTCATTGGAAAGAGGGAGCGGCAAGAAATGTTACATGCTATCTGCCAGGGACCTCTCCATTGTATGGGGTGACACTCCAACTTATTGGAGATGGATTTCTATACCTGAGTCCAGGTCTCTCTCTCTGTCTCTCCCCTCGCCCCTGCCCTTCTGGTTGGGTTTTCGCCGTTATTTCTTATACTTTCATCATTACCATCTAAGTTTATAAGACTTAACTAAGAATTGTGAATCTTAGATTGTTATAGTTATATTGGACAGCATGGAATAGGTGAAAAGAATTAATGGATGAAAGTTCTACATCTCGCCCCTACTTCCTTCGTCCATCACCTCTCTTTTTCACAATTTATTTTCTATTGTTGTTAACATGTAAACATTTCATGTAAAAAACAGGTTTGAAGAGGTAGCAGAGCTTCTTAGTGTTTGTTGGCTTGAAATCCGTGGGAGGATCAGTATCTCCATGCTTTCACCCATGACGCACTATAAGGCTTATCTTGTGTTCAAGGCAACAACTGCTGGAGCTTATGGGTTTGACCTCCAATCTGTGGAAGTTGGTGTTGGACTTGTTGGCACTGAAGGTCAGAAGAGAGCTGTCTATTTGGATACAGAAAGACGCCGAGGACGTCGTTACCCGATTGCCCCAAGGGGAATTGGGCTATTTACAAGAAGCCGTCTCTTTGGGTTGCAAGCATCTGTACCTACTACTGCAAGTGATGATCAGTACCCGAAGGCGAGAGTAGATGGGTGGTTGGAGATTGAGCTGGGTGAGTTCTTCAACGAGGGATGCATTGATGAGGAATTGGAAATGAGTGTTTTGGAGATTGAGGGTGGTCACTGGAAGGGTGGCCTCGTTATCCAGGGAATTGAGATCAGGCCTAATCTATGTGGAGGGTCAGAAAACAATGCCCTTGTTCCCTCGGATTTGTGCTTGAATGCAGGTATCTTGAGTCGACCGGACCCTAAAAAACAAGATTTTTCTGCTTCGCTCCCTTGATCACTTCGAAAATTGAATCAGATGCCTTAATTTCGGGCAGTGATGAGTACGTATAAGGCCGCTTTCAAACATGTCAATTGTATTCCCGATGACCGCTTCTTTCAGCATTTTACCCCTCAGTGCTTCTGTTAAGCATTGTGGTGACGAGGCAATTTACCTCTTTCAGAAAGTTTATGCTCAAAACTTGTTTTCTTTTTGGATGATGTATTTCGTATGAAGAAAATGGAAAAGTGTGTTTAATCTTTGGATCCTCATGACTTCCACATGGTAATACTGATGAGAGTATGAGAGCTGCTTATGACGCTTGGTTCGATTGCTTCTTTTACTAGTATTTGCGTTTCTTTAAGCAAAAGCCGAAAGAAATGCTTTGGCTGCAAAAAATACGAAGATATAAAATGAAAGTTTTTGGCTTAATATGTAAACAAATCTTTTAATTATTTAGTAAAATTTAAATAAATTTTTATTTTTTTATTTAATTAAGTTTATATATATTTATATTTTAAATTAAATAAGTTTTTATAATAACATATAAATGAATGTTATTTGTCATTTTGTATTAAATATAGTTGATATGATATATTAAAATATTATAATTGAAAAAATAAAAAATTTATTCTTACAAGATTGAGATTGTAGAATATCAATATTTCACAATATTCGTAAAAGAAGTTGCTTGGCTTATGATGTAATAAAGTTATTTTGTTTACACTATATATATATAAAATAAAAATAATAATATAACATGTTAGATATAACACAGTAATATAATCACATAAAAAAATTACACCATAATGTCACATGATGTTTTAACTGATGAAAATTTATTAATTTAAAATAAAAAATATAAAAATTTATTAGTATTTAATAAAAAAATAAAATATTTTAAATTTTTTTAAATAGTTTTGAAAAATTTTTAAATATTATATCAGATTTTTTTATTTTGATATTAAAAATTAACATTTTTCATATATATGAAACTATTATGCTTTAATTGGTATTATCTTTAAGTTATTAACTTATTTATAAGTTTTAACACAATATTAACTTACTTTTAAGCAAACATAATAAATTTTTTATGAAGAACTATACATAAAAATGAGGATTTAAACTCAATTATCTTAAACAACTTATTCATTATTGAACCAGATATTTATGTCAATCAAATGTTATATTTGTTTACTGTTATACTTGTTCAGAATATCTTAGAAAAAAAAAAGACAATGGCAATGATGCTTAATTGAGCAGCTCCATTAAAAGCTTTGCACTTAAAATCGATACAAACTCGTAAAATATAAAAGACAAAATCGATTAAAATCGAAAAAAGAATAGAAAAATCCAAAAAAATGTTACAAACAAAAAATACCCAAGGAAAGAGAAATATCGTCAACTCAAAAAAGACAAACCAAATCTGATAATCACACAAATGGCAGAGAAAGAGCATTAGAGAAAAGAGAACAATCAAAAAAAAAAAAATGAAAAGAGAACTCTCCTCAAAACGAAAGGCAAGTTTGAAAAAACTTGTTACGTTCAAAAAGTTAATAAATCGACACATAAATAAATAAATTAATATAAAATTAGACAAAAATTCAATTTCTGAAGTAGAAATGTATATTTTAAAATTTCTTCCTTGTAATAGAAATGATGTGTCATCAACCAAAATGTTCAATTGTTGTCAATGGCAAGAAAAAGATTAAAATCTTGAGGTTTTAAGTTTAAATTTTATCATATGTAAATTTGATTTAATTTTATACTAGATTTGTTTAATTATATATTGATTTGATAGTTAATTTATTATTTTATTAAATTTCATATAATATTATATAATGTTTTATTATGATTGAAATTGTTTATGTAAATAAAATTTTATAAAAAAATTAATTGTTGAAAATTCATAGAAAGTTTTATAAAAGCCGTAAATCATTGATTACCACTTTTACGGTCAAAAAGGCTTAGTTAGGAATTAAGATGTTAGGTTGAGTCGGTCGGCTACCAAATCCGAAATCTAAATTTGGCGCCCTTTAATAGACATCCTACGTGGCTTTCTATACACGTGTCTTCCTCTCTTTCTTTTGCCCTTTTTCGTCGAACGTCTCTCCATTTTCCTTCCGTTTTCCTGTCTCAGAAATTACAAAAGCAAAAGAAACCAACCACGCTATTAAATTCTATATAAATTCCGATTCTTTTCCCATTGCCAACGCCCTTTTTCCTCTCAGAATATTGCCACGCCCTTCGCTCCTCTTTTTCTTCTAGGGTTCCTCTGGAGTCTACTTCTTCTTCTTCTTCTCTGTAACGAAATGGCAGAGTTGCCGGAGACGAGTCGTCGGAATTCTACGTCACTTCCGGCGATATCTCCATTGAGATTTCCGGCGATGATTCCAATGCCGCTAATTCTTCAGGTTTCTTGCATTACTCTTTTTTTTTCGCTTTCTTTTTATGTTTCTTGGATTTATTTTATGGACTTAATTGATAAAAGCTTTTTTGGGGGGGGGGGGGGGTGGAGAGGAATTTACGAGAACTTCTTTATAACTGTTTGCTTTATGCTAGTGCTTAAACTTTTTTGCTCAAAGTTAAATTATTTTTACCTTTTGGTGGTTTTTTCTTTTTTTGGATTTATATTTAGGTTGTTCAACTGATGTGCCTGTTGATTTCGATATCGAAATTGTAGGCGATGACGATAATGGCTCAGAAGCTTCAGGTTTGATTATTGTTATTATTTGTTTACTTTGATTATTTGATTACTAATGGACATAATGTATGAAAGGGAATTCCGTTAGTATTTTGAAAATTGTAAAAATTAGAAATGTACATATTTCCTGAATAGCTTTTTTGTTGCAAATGAGCCGTAATGGAACTTACTAGAATACAAATGAGCCGTAATAGAACTTACTAGAATACATGTACAAGTAGATAGTGTTATGAGTATAACTGGCTAAAGAGGCCCTTTCAGAGGAAAAAATTAGTAAACTAGCCTGTAACTAGAGGAAATCAAACCTAAAGTTGGAGCAAAGCCAAGGACCTAAGTTCTCTGGGGCTTCTGCCTTACCATTAAGATAAAGCCTCATAAGCACAGAAATTGAAATTCTGATCTACCAAGGTTGCCTTAAAAGTTTTGATTTATTTCTTTCTCTAACCAAAATATTCATTTAAAACTGTTTTGGGTCTGCATATATCTGGAATGTAGTATGAATGTAAAACAAAAGGTTCTTTCTGTTTCTTGCTTTGCTAACCAGTTATATATTGCAGGAAGTCCTTTGTTTGCATGTGAGCCTAAGATGAAATGTCCCTCTACTTTTCATTTTTATAAATCCTACCGTTGTTACGTTAGGATGTATGACTGAATTATAAAATCTTTTTAGTGTATAAACTGAATCTATCATCCTCTGGAAAATCTGTCTCGAGGTTTGCTTATCTACAAAAATGAAGTGAAATTAGAAAAACAGGTGTGGCTATAAGCCCAGGTGACCTATTCAGGTATAAGCTTTGTGTAATTGGTGCCAATGGATTTAATAGTATTTGGGGTTTTTAGGAGTGAGTTAGATGGTAACTGGTAAGAGTTTGTTTAGGGATTATAATATCATACTGTAGGGTACAAAACCTAAAATAAGTTGGGAAGTAAGTGTAGAAGAAAGAGATTTGGGCTTCGGTGCTAAGTCCCAAGGACTTTTCTTCATCCCTAGAGAGCATACTAGCTGCTCAAATTTCCATAAACTTGTCCTCTATTATAGTCAAGTGATTATTATAAGGACTCCAACAAAGGCTTATGACAAATGTGTATCCATAAATTAAATAAAGCCCTAATATGTAACGAGAAATTAAACTAAGATCCTGACCCTCTAAAGCTGCAATCTCCAACAAATTAAGATCCTAAACCAGTCTGACAATGCCATAATTCTATATATACTTGATAACCAATCTTGACTCTTCTTATCTCCTTGTGTGTCTCAGCTTGATACTAAATGATGACTTCAATGATTACTACTGTATTTACTACAGAATTGCTGGGAAGACACTTAATGGTACCTGTCAGTATGTGATTACAAGAAAGTTTCAAGAGATGCTATTACATGTAACATGTGCATATCATTCCAAAAATTTGAAGGTTACTTGTGTTTGTGGATGGAGCTGCATTCTAGGATTTTCTCCTCCTCTATTCTTTCTGACCAATTCACCATCACATTAATTTTTTTTTTTCATAAATGCATTGGCATGTGGGACTTATTTATTTTAATGAATGTAATTAGTCATACTATTATTATTGCTCTAAAATCTGCTCTACCCAGGGCTTACTAACATGAGTTTGGCTGGACAAAACATGCGTGGCAAAGCATCTACTTCTGCAATGGATTCAGGTTCTAATCAGCAACCAAATTCTCGGAAAGAAAGACAAAGTAGCAAATTAGCTTTATATATAGCCAAATTTTTGGATGAAAAAGTTCCTTTAAGAAAGAGGGTATGATATTTAACCTCTGGTTACAGTTTTCATTTCTTTGTTTGTTTTATTACCATGCACAGGAAGTTAAAGGGATGTAGGATCTGTCTTCTGGATTAAACTAGTTTTAAGTTCTGGGATATGATTTAATTACAGCTGAGACATAAATATAAATTTTGTGAAGTGACTTCTTCTATGTTATGAGCATCAATGTGTTGTAATTCATATTAATACTGGAAGCATGATTACTTCAAACTTTACTTTTGCACCTACATACATATTAGATGGGCAGTTGTCATGCAGGACTTTAATAAGAATATAATGGTAGATGACAAACAAGATCAGTAGATTTATTATCATTATTGAGTTCCAAGCTGTTATATTTCTTTTTGGTATTTGGTGTGAAAACCTAGTTCATTCCCATTTTTCTTTGTCTTGCTATAGTCTGACTGATTGTACATTGGTTATTTCTTTAATCAAAAGCTCTTTTTTGGGATTCCCCAAGTATAGTATTAACATTTTATATTAATTTTTGCTTGCTATTCCATCATTTTTGCTCTTGTGAATGGGATTTTAAACTTGATTTTTAAATATTAACGCAGATCAAATTTTTAAACCAAGTCGCTAATGTGAAACATGATGGAACGGTACAATTTGATGTTCCAGTAGATATGAAACCACCTACCCTTGATTTTGGAAGTGGTGTAGTTTACAATCATGCTCCAGATAAAGAGCATTACACAGAAGGTATTCCAGAAATACCT